GGAGGGTTCTTGTGAACATGGAAATGAACCTTCGGGTTCCATAAAATGCTGGGAAATTCTTGAGTAGCTGCAGAATTGGTGACTTTTCATGAAGGGCTCAGCTCCAGGAGTGAGTGAGTGATTTATCACTACCTTGTTCTGCTGCCTCCTCGCCTTTGCTTCTGCGAGACAGAGAAGCCAATGTAATAGGAGTTAATAATAAAGGGCTTTATGATTTCTACTCTTCGCCGGATATTGCGACTAAACCATACGGGCTACAGCGCTCCTCGGAGAGAGACGGGAAACCTGAAGATAGTTGAGGACTTAGGAGACGCTGGCATGGGACGTGAAGATAATATTAATATGGATTCTGAAGGAACAGCATAAAATTATGTGGAAAGAAAAAAAATATGATTCCGACCAGGAATCAAGGGTAAGTTCCTGTGAATAGGGTCATGAAAATTTGGTTCCAAATTAGGTCGCGACTGTGATGCCAAGCTTACTGGCTATCAGCTTTCCACTCTGATTGATAGTGCTGTTTTATTCTTTATGATTATTTACAATAAAATTATCTCTGAAGAGTAGTTGAGTAGCCAGCCATACGTATCCTGAACATGCATGCTAGAAGCAATACAGTGAGATCTTTATAGGAGCCCGATACTTTTGTTTCTAAAAGACATAAACCCTAAAGAAATACAAAGGTGGGGTGGACTGGAAGAAGTTGGAGGGGTGTGGGGTGTCTGAACTTTCCAAACGCATAAAGGATATTAGCCGAGAGAAGAACAAATTGCATGGACTATAAAATAAAGCTGAAGCCACCCCATCCCCCTGCATCTGCGCCCTGAAACGACAAGGCGTGATTTGCATGGGGCAGGGTAGGCGTAAAAATGTAGGGCGGGGTGAGAATCGTTGTGGGCAGACATGGCAGAACCGTAATATACCTCAGCACAAATACAACGCAGAAAAAAAAATAACAAACCTGTTTAAATTAAAATGAGTAGAGGCTAAATTTTTCCTTTTCAATACCCGTTTGCCTCTGCCCTATTCTGCCATTACTGCTTTTATTGTTGCGATAGAAACACCCCTCCTTCTTTCGTTCCTACTTTGGTGGATACGTGTGGAAAATGTTATAGGCCAACTTCACGTGCATTTTAAAGAGTCATAAAATGAGTTCAAGTTGAATTTTCCTCGTTTTGAGGAGAAAAGGGGGAGGGGCAGGATCAAAAAACGTAATATCAACCGAAGTAGGAATCGTGACATGAACCCGAATGCTATGGATGTGTTGAATTCTAAGTTTAGGCCTACATCCACGGAGAAACTGAGGACGTATTGGCGACCCGTGGATCAGCACCATATCCCTCCCACTTCTTTATTTTAATTAAGTCTATCACAAATTACAAATACTCTGTATTCCGATGAACCAAAACACGCAAACACTGAACTGACGCACAAATATTGCTGATCGGCAGGGTGCATGGGGTTACTACACGTAGTGTTGTCGCTGAATTCAGAGCTTCTAATATGAAGGAGCCGGTCACGGTAGTCGAGCGGTCTAAGGCATGCACTGTCTTCGCTCGCTCGGAAGCCGGGATCGTGGCTTCGGATCTGTTTCCTGTGAGGTACGAACTGAGTTCTTATATATTATTCTTATACACTGCCGGTCACAGTAGCCGAGCTGTCTAAGGCATGCACTGTCTGCGCTCGCTCGGAAGCCGAGACCGTGGGTTTGAATCCCACTCAAGGCATGAATGTTTAGTTTGTGTGTGTGCGTTTTTCTGTGCTTGTGTACAGGTAGAGGCCTTGCGACGAGCTGATCACCCGCCCAAGGAGTCCTACCGAATGTGTGAGATTTAGAAAAACCGAAGTGAACGGAGAAGTTCATGGAGGTAGGCCTAGACCCACTGGGGCTGTAGTGCCAAGGAAAAAAAGAAACAAAAAAAAATATGAAGGAAGGAGAAGCAATACATTCAGCAGAAACATAGAAAAAATGGTAAAACACTTGAATGTAAGCTGATATACCTGACTCAGTAAAGTGACCCACTGTAGGCTCTCTTTCAATTCCCGTTAAGGTCATAACGCACTTTCGCTAATATTTCTTCCGATTAGCTCTTGGGTCTACATAACCAAATATCTATATAATAGGGGAGACTCTTTTTGAAGAGGATAAAGCGACCGTAGCTTTATACTTACATTAACTTCGTTAACATTAATTTCGTTTTTCCTGACAAAGGACGAGCTTCTGTGAAATGACATTTAAATATTAGAACATTTCACATATCAATTCTCTTGCTAAAATACTAGATTTCCTACATCACTGATTGATTTCTAACATACCTAGAAGCACTTTTCAAGTACACAATAGGACTAGTTCCTAAAATAGAACTATTTGTTTCTTAGCAGGCTCGATGTTTTTGATAAATCTAAACATATTTCTAATGTTAGAAAAAATAATGTTCAAGAAATAGCTTATTGCGTCTTTCTTCCTTGAAATGATTAGTTTCATACAACGATACCAGCCGACATCTAAGAAAAATCAAGAAAACTGTGTGTTCCCAGAGCTAGTTTTCAGTGGTTGGATCCAGTTGTGAAGATAGGAAAAGGTTTCCCTTGCCGAGAATCGATCCCTTATCACCCAGTCCTTAGCCAGTCACCACGTAATAGATCTACATTTCTGTTCCCAGAAATAAAGGATTCTTCACTAATGGAATCTGTACGCATTACCACCCTTACATTTTTTTCCCCTTGGCACTACAGCCCCAGTGGGCCTAGGCCTACCTCCATGAACTTCTCCGTTCACTTCGGTTTTTCTAGATCTTACGCATTCGGTAGGACTCCTTGGGCTGGTAATCAGCTCGTCGCAAGGCCTCTACCTTTACACAAACACAGAAAAACGCACACACATAAACTAAACATCCATGCCCTGAGTGGGATTCGAACCCAAGATCCCGGTTTCCAAGCGAGCGAAGACAGTACATGCCTTAGACCGCTCGGCTACTGTGACCGGCAGTGTATAAGAATAATATATAAGAATTCAGTTCGTACCTCACAGGAAACATCCGAGCCCACGATCCCGGCTTCCGAGCGAGCGAAGACAGTTCATGCCTTAGACCGCTCGGATACCGTGATCGGCACCCTTACATATACTTACGTGTTAATCCAATGAAATGCAGAAAATGTCGAGTTTGTTACTTCGAATGTAGGCCGATGCAGTAGCATTTAATCATTTACTTTCCATTGCAGTTACTAATGTCCTCTCCTGTGTTTCTGTGACAAGTTTAAATATTAAAACATTTATACGGCTCATTATTACCATAAACATTTTGAGGGGTGATCCCCCTTGTAGCTCCCTTAAGCGAGATGAGACTGTACAGTAATCTCTATTGCTATATCCTAATTCTGAGATAACACAAACGTCGCAAGGGCTTTGTGTAGCTTATATACACGTTCAAATGCAAACTAAAGCCAAGGAAGAGATGAGCCAGATGAAAACTAATCCCACCATGTTATTATTACAGGGCATATGAGAGCTCACCCACTTGTGATAACAATACTCCAACCCTCGAGCTATCTCATCCCCCGAAGTGGAATTCGCAGGAGCATTGATCATCTCCTCCCACCCCACACATCATGATAATCTAGTCTTCAGCCTGTTCCTGCTCCCAAATCATAATCCCTTACGCTCGTAAACGTACTCTGTTTTGCATAATATACGCTTGGATCTATAAGCTTACTTCTCTCGGGTTCAAGTCATGTAATGGCATTTCCGAAATAGCAGTGAAAGCGATAGAAACAACCCCTCCTCTGCACCCACCATCGCTTGATGTGTTTGTGCAATGGGCGATGAAACACCACCGAGGTGCTCTTAGCTTCCCCCCCTTTTTTCAATTTTGTTAGCAGTACAGGAAGAAAAAAATTGTATACAGTCCATATTTTTAATACTATTCCGAAAAAAACAGTTCTGTTTACACGAGGCTTTGTAATACAAATTAAAGAGGCCAATTATTTTCTAGAATACAAATCCGTGCAAATATGAGCCTTAAATCCTTGTAAAATAATGGTTACATTTGCAATATAAATCCAACAGCGAACTCTTTAAATGTGTTGAAATTTTACGAAAAATAAATAGAATTAAATATTTCTAATGCCCTTACCGTAACTGGAATAAAAGTCATACAAATACAATGAAAGGGCTTTTGACGAAGCAGCCTCCACATTATAGAAAGATATTTCATAACGCGAAACACGTTGTTTCCCCAATAGGCATATAAAATTTTGAACTATTGTACATTCCAGAGTTTATATATTTTGATTATAAATTTGATAACTGTGGATTTCTTTGTGTTGTAAAGTAAAAGTAAAGCTATTCTTGTAGCAGGCCGTGAAGGCCCATAGGTTTGAGAGATGTTGAGGTTCCCACATTTTCTAGACAATCGGCTCGTAGATGGCGGCAAGGTTGTCAGCCTTACGCGCCGGCCGCCCTTTACTCCTAAGAATATTCCTGGTACTCACTTCTGTTAGAGGCTGAGTCGACTCCAAAGCCATAGTGCAGCTGGAAAGATTAGGTCAATTGAAAATTCATTGACCTCATCAGGACTTGAACCCGTGACCTTTCGTCTTGTAGCATAGTGCCTCAACCAACTACCCTACCGCGTGTCCCCTTGTGATGTAAAGGCTTTCCTTAAATACATGAATATTCTCTTAAGTAATGTCTTTGCATTTTAGTATTACACTCGTAAATATTTATTTATTATAGTATTGATAAAACCAATGGAAAGAGACCACGTGGGAGACCTAGTGTACATAGGAAAGTAATATTAAAATAGATGTTAAAGTAAAAATATACTAGGTTATGTGCCAGATTAATAAGGCAGAGTACAGGAACAGTAATTTTCCATAATAGAGAATCTATTGACGAACAGAAAGATCTTTAGTTTCTCAAATAATATTAGCTATAAACTAAAATTATACAACGGATCAATTAATAGGTTTAAATGAAAGTTTTTTTTTTTTTCTGTTTGCAGGAAGTGAAGAGAGGAGTGTCACACCACAACTGCAGTCTGCTTCTTGATCGACGAGCGTGCAGTCTGACATTGGAGAAATTTCTATTTTGCAATTTTGCAGCGTTTTTTAAATGCATATGATTTTTTGAAGAACCAAACGAATGGGCGTATGCGAGGAAGGAGCGAAAGTAGAGGACGTTTCGACTTAAAACCATGTATGTTAGATTTTTGCTTCTTTCCTATATTTCATCAAGCCTGGGTGTAAAGGAACAAGGGCAACTTCATGCAGGAGGTAGACAAATTAATGGAGCGACTAAGAAATTGAGGAATGGAATTTGTGAATGGGAAGACAACATCAANGACGTGAGTTTCACAAATCCAATATCCACGGTACGGTTTCAGTTGCTAAACCTCTGATTACTGAAAGTAATATTCAGATGCGAAAACGATGGTGTCACGACCTTGAAACCTGGACATGAAGGCAAATGGAAACTCTTTCGTGGTCTGGTCAGATGAGTCATCCTTCACGCTCTTCCTTATATCAGAAATAGTTCACGTTTGGAGAATATCCAAGGAAGCCTACAATTCGAAATGCCTCGTTCCAACGGTGAAACACGGTGGGAGATTTTGTGATGGTTTGGACAACAACAGAACAGAATTCTGTTGGGCCCAATATTACCCGTCATGGCCAAATTGTTGTAAGGGAGTGCGTGGACAGATTGGGTAATCAGGTGCGTCTCATAAACCAGAAGTTTTTCCGAAGAACAACGAAAAAAAGATTCAGTTTTCTAAAACGATAATTCCCCCATTCATACAGCTGGAACTGTTCATTCATGGTTTGAAGAGCATGTAGGTGAACTTCAGCATCTTCCCTGGCCAACACAAGCACCACATTTGAACATCATTGAAACACTCTGGCCAGTTTTGAAGACGAGATTGAGAAACAGATTCAAACTTTGAATATGTTCTTCAAGAAGAATGGTAGAAATGCTACTAGAAATTATTCTAAGGGGGATTGCGATTGTATTGAGGCAAAATGGGGCCCAACACCATATAAATAAGGAAATGTGTGCAGTATCTGTAGCGTGCCCATTGTTCTGTTCAACCCCTGTACATAGATTTACGTGCTGGGGAAAGCAGACAGATCGGCAACAGTTTCAGAAATATAAATAAGTATTTGCATTAATAATTCTTCACATTCACTTACATTGCTACTTTATGCCACTTTAGAATATCTTTAAGATTTTAAAAATTATTATACGAAAAAAAATCTATTGTATATTTCCTTATATTTTTAATTTTATACTGACTGGGCCTCCTTTTACAAGCTGTAAGATTTTAAAGGGTTCTGACGATGGGGTATAACACTCAGATTCACTGGGTTTTTGGTCTTTGTCCATCGTCGGGTATTCTAGGAAGTAGGAAACACAGCGTTTCAGAGACTGGATCTTTTTCCGTCCTCAGATGAGGAGGAAGTGGAAGACACTCAGTTAGGTCCCTTAGAGAGAGCTAACCTCAACCACTGACAAAAACAAAACAGTGATTCTAAGCTGTAAGATAATTCTACATATATCAATAAAAATCACATACTCACAGGCAAACATGTTACAGGGTATCATTATGAAACATACAATTACGAACTTTTAACCCTTTATAGTAGTTCTCAGGTGTATAATGCTTTCAGATTTTGACTGACAGGCGCAGGTTATGCTAGGGCTAGAAAGCCAATCTCTGCCTCTCATCTACGGAAAGAGAAGAGAACTGCACCGCTTGTTATACAGGATAATCGCTTAGACCGGGCATCCTTTTGACCTTTGAGTAATTTCCCAGCGCTCAAAACAATACGGCATATTTTGATGTAGCAGATAACGGAGTTGCGTGCTACATCAAACAGCACATTCATGTGCGTGTATTTTTGTTGTGTTATTCCTCATATTGGCACAAAACAGCGGGAAATTATAGTCGTGTCTGAACTAAAGCGTATCATACCTAACACATTCACCAGCACGAAGTATGTTCAAGTCAATCATGGCTATGAACTATCTTCAATGTGTGGCCATTTTGCTTTCGTCATCATAAACTCATTCTCAAGCTGTTTTTCTCCTCATGTCTGACTGTTTACGTGTCTTTGTCTGTCTATACGTACACACGTCACAGGGCCATGCTTCGTGTGAAATATGTACCTTATTGGTGCCTACCGACATTTATTTCCTAATCCTTGCACCTCTGCTGATTTATTACCTGCTAATAAAGTATTTTAATAAGAATATTTTGAACTTTATGACCGCATTTGTAGTCTAGTGGTCAGAGTTCCTGACTACATATCCAGAAGTTTCGGGTTCGATTCCCGGTGCTACCAATTTTTCTGAGTAGTAGTGGGTCTGGAACGGGATCCACTCAGTCTTGTGAGCATAATTAAGGAGCTACTTGAATGGAAAAGTAGCGACTCCGGTCTATAAGAAAAGAAATTAACGTCCGTGGGGATTCGTTGCGCTGACCACGCTACACCAAATATCCACTAAAGTTGGCACTAATTTCGTCGACAAGAGGCGGTCGCTCGGTCGTTACAGTTCGCTTACGGACTAAAGCCATGGAGTTTTCAACTGCATAGCTAGGTCCGAAAGTAACGCAAGAGTCTCATTTGCACTACTATTTTCATTTTTTGTATGTTTATTTTTCAACTGAATTCTCGGGGAAGTACTGAATGCACCTTCACTAACATGACCAACATAAATAAGTAAAATTAAAGCTATCTCTGTAACAGGCCGTGGAGGCCCATAAAGTTGTCAGATGTTGAGTGTCCCACATTATCTAGACAATCGGCTCATAGATGGCTGTGAGGTTGTTAGCCTTACGCGACGGCCGCACTTTACTCCCCAAGAAAATTATTTAATTAATTCATTGTACTCATTTCTGTTAGAGGTTGAGTCGAATCTAGGGCCATAGTGAGGCTGGAAGGGTTAGGATAAATACTCGAATTAACATACAACAGCAAAATAGAAGCAATAAGGCCATATATTTACAATTGGGTACCTCTGTAAAAGCTTAACAGTATATCTAACAGGCGTGTAGTGTAAGAGGGCACTGTTTAAAATGTCTGACATTTCAGTCAGTGCCGTATCACAAATAGGCCTCCAGTTATTAATAAATCTCTGTTATCATACCATATCCCTCACAGATCCTGGTAACCGATACATTTCAATATCTAGAGCTTTAACCCATATCCTGTAAAACATACAAGTCTTTGTGAAGTTCAAGCAACGGCTTCATAGCTAGAAGAATATTTATGGATATTCTAAATATATTCGTGTCTTACAACAAAGGATAGGCTGAAATCAGACTTACTAATTACATAAAACGATAGTTCAATAATACACTGGCATTAAAATTATGAATCCCCGTAAAATGTATCTTCTTATAGGCTACTTGACAACCGCAGCATTATCTACAGTACTGGGGCATATTTGCTCAAATAAGGGTTTGTGAAGATAGGAGAAACAGTCTTTGCTAGACAACCACTGTTCAAGCACTCAGCAATACCAGTGCCTATCGCTAAACACCATATACACGCAGCAATAGAGGAAATATTGGAAGCGGTGTTTTCTACGCGGTACGTGCCAAGGCTATATAACTAGGACCAGCTACTTAGAGGTTATTTCATCTTGGAAGCCAGTTATTTCTGGTCGGAAACAAGTCGATTATTGACAGCTGAAGTTTGGGATTGGTAGTTGGAAGTTAGTTCAGTTAGGGAGCTGTAGCTGAAAGGTACCAGACAACGAAGACAGGATCCGTTGGACACGGAAGCCGAGGACGCTACATTATTGGAAGCCGCTACCAGGCAATGTTACTGAGAACATTAGTCTGTGTATGATAGTGGGCTGTGAAGTGTAGTCACGATCAGTGAAATTATGCAATAAATCCAGTTATGCATACTCGAATGCGTGGCAATATATAGCGTCCAATTGAAGGAACATACATGAATGAGGAGTTCAAATACATTTGGAAGAAAGTGGCTGTCGTATAATCGAGGTACCCTCCCAGACTTCGCCTGGAGAGACTGAGGAATACGCAGAATATGCTCAGTCAATATAACCCGCGTCCGAGATACAAACAGAGCATATTCCGTTTATGATTAAAGAGAGTTATCTTCAAGCCAGCTCTCTCGGTCATGAGATACTAAGGCCTTCAACAATATATGGATATCAGAGAGCAATTGTTCCTACAGTTTACTTATATGACAATAGGTATATATCAAATTGCATTAATTCCTAGTGATTACTTCATTTTTAGCCTATAAGAAGTCGTCACTTATATGAGTCAGTGAAATATTACCAGAAACTCAAATCAATTTCCTCTATATACTAAACTAATTTATATTTCGGTTCCCTCCCCACCATTGAACTGAGATGAATCAGCATAATATATATCAAAATAGCATTAATTTTTAAATATTTATAAAACTTTTGACTGAGAACATTTTGCTGTCACTATCACGTAGGCAAATACCGACATCAAAAGCAGGTTAACTTGTCGGCCATCATACACACGCAAGAGCTGTGAATCCACAAAACGGCAACAACCTGAACATCTCTCAAGTCAGTTCCAAATTGCGGGTCACTTGTGATGGACAGTTTCCTTCCGCCTCGCAGAGAGGGGGAACACTGAAATCCTGCATACTGAAGAGAAATGGTGGGCGGAATAAAGACGCCGAGATAAGATACATCCTTTGTATTCGTTTGTGCATGCAAAATTAGACTAACGTAATTTGCACTTGTTTATACGAAACACGAGATTTCTTAGATGTTAATAGTCCTATGTTGGTTCAATGGCATTAATAAGCAGTGGTCTGGTTTCTAGGAACTCACGTTGCAACAGATCTTTGTTGTGGGCTCATTCTATGTTAGCCACGTTTCATTTCTTCAGAACTTCCACAGACATGACAGACAAGAGGAAATTAGGCCACTTTAAATATTTATAGGTCTGGATAGCAGCAACAATATCTGCTATGATGAAATCCACAAGGAGATCTCAGTAAAGCGGGTTTCCTGTTTCTCTTTTCTAAAGTTCAATCGAAAAAGTAACATTTCAATTACGCCTCTTGGAAGGTGACACCTACAAATGCATTGTAGCATCCCAGAGCTGACAGTGTATAAGCTTTTTAGAATAATATATTACTCCATGGTCTTCCTTAATAAAATAACAATATCTCATGATATTTATAGAAATATTTGGCACCCGAATGTTAGTTACCATTCTCACAGGGGAGTCACATGACTCTGTCTCGAGTCAACTACACATCATTATATAAATTTTAATATTATCCTCCCAGTAACATTTAGGACAATCAAATT